GAGGAGCAGCGTGGGGAAGAGGAGGAGCCCTGAGGTAAACGCTCCTCTCGCGCGACCGTCGCGACCTGGGCTCCCTTTTACCAACTTTTGTGTCGGCATGCATAATGGGGTGGCGCCCGAATCGCCATGTAGCCATCGAACCCTCGGGGGGAAGATGTGGGGGCCCGACGGGGGGGGGGGGAAAGGAGCATCAGTAGCAGGGAGGGTGGGGGAGGGATTGGGCGGAGGGGGACTGGACGAACGGCTGTGGCGGGGGGGACGGGAGTGACGGGAAAAGTCGATGGGACGCATTATCGTATGGGTGGCGTGGCCACGTTTTCAAATTTTGGCCATCCTCCCTTGCGTGTCCTGCACATGGTTTGATCCTGGAGCTTTGGATTTCTTCACGGATGGAGGGCATTTCTGTTTCAATTGTTGTCTTTCGTTCCTACAGTTCGTATGTTCCAACCGCGCGGACCTTTGGAAGTATATTGCCATACAGATGGTCCCATTCTGGGATAGTCGTTGTTTGCCACTATTTGTTTTGTTGTTCATGCCACCATCTGATTTGACATCATTGTCATCATTTATTTTCTTCTCAGCATCACGTTTTTGTGTTTCGGTTTCAATGCTACCAAATCGAAGGTAACCGTTTCCGGTGACGACGGCTGGCGAACACGATTTGGTGAAGTTGACTCGTGCCCCTCAGCCCCCCTCCACCTGACACTGGCCTATGATCAACTTCGATATGATTCGAATCGAAGGCTGGGCCCGCGACTTTGACTCGTTTCGGTTCGATTCACCGGCCTCGGCCCGGGCCCAGCCAGAGCCGGGCGCGGCAGTGCGGTGTCGCTCCCACGTCGGACGATTCGCTGGCGCTTCGATCCGTTCGGGTTTCGCGATTTGGTCCAGCTCAGCCCTGTCTGTGCCTTCTCCTCCTCCTCCTCCTCCTCCTCCTCCTCCTCCTCCTCCTCCTCCTCCTCCTCCCCCCCTCCTCTGAGGGCGGCGGCGGTGACGGAGGCGGCGGCGGCGACGGCGAGGAGGAGGACCGCGCTGCCGCTGCAGGCGTGAACCCCGAGTCCAGGCTGGGTGAGGCGTGGACCGACTACAGCCTGCTGGAGGCGGCCTGGGGGAGGGAAGGGAGCAGGAGGAAGAGTGAAGGAGGAGGGGGAGGAGGTGGAGGAGGAAGAGAAGGACCAGTGTGAACCTGAGGCGCGTCAGCGATGTTGCGAGAACCCCACCCTCCCAGTTTTCTCTTCACAGGCCCCCCAAAAAGTAATCGTTACGAGAAGTGCCCCATGGCAAGACATCCGTCTGAGCATCCCCGATCGCAGCACCAGAACCTGAGACTTCCACACCGCGAGTCAACTGTACTGCTGCGTCCAGACGGTACGAAGTCTTGACAGGACACAAGTTCTGGGACGTTACCTTACGAATCTGATCATTCTTAAAGACGAATGTGCGCGACGCTCTGGCGAAAGTTACATTTCCAGAAGGTCATAGGCCGCTTGGATGCATCTTGAGGGCCTCTTAGATGCATCTTTGCGAGTCTCGAGGGCCCCTTCCTGGCTCGTGGCGGGCATATTGGAGCATCTTGATTTGGACCATGATATGTCAGTGGAGCAAGAAGGCACGATCATGATTGTTCCAGAGCTCTCGAGAGGTCAAATACTACCGAATGTTGCACACAGGCTGCAGAAACGAGGGCCGCTGGATACGTTCGGATCGAGGCATGTGATCGAGGTCGGTTCGGGGAGAGTACCCTATGGCTTTTCGTGCTTGTTGTTTGTTCTTGTGCATCCTGGGGAGAGGGTACCCTGGAACGTTCTTCAGTTTGGCCGGCGGAGGGTTTCCTGTTCTTGAAGGATGTTCTTCCGTCCTCGGTCTGGCCGTATTTCAATGCGAGGATCAATCCGCTCCAGAGCGCTCCGGAACGCTCTCAGAGCGATCTGGAACGAAGACCGCGCGCCCGAGACATTCCCCAGAGCCGCCGAATCCCAGATAATCCCGATGTTATCCTGTCCCGATTCTATCTTCCCTTAAGTCTGGCATGTCCGTTTACAGGCGGATTTGAGACGGAACAAATAAAAAGTAGTCAAAGCATTAGCAAGAATGACACTCCATAATTAAAAAAAACATCCCAAGGCTCTTCTTTGACCGTTTTCGAGGATTCTCTCTGTAGAGGGACGTGCCCGAGTTAATGCTATCCTCTCCCTGGCGCCCGAGATAACTCCTCCAGAGCTGCCGGGTTACAGAGATTCTCGATTTTTCCTCACCCGTTGTTGTTCGCGTCCTGGCTGCGTGTCGGTATATACTCCAGCACTCTTGGAGCTGATGATGATGAGGAGGACGATGATGATGATGACGATGATGACGATGATGATGCTGATGATGCTGATGGTGATGATTATGATGATGATGATGATGATGTTGATGATGTTGATGATGACGATGATGCTGACAATGATGCTGATGAGGAGGATGACGATGATGATGCTGATGATGATGAAGCTGCTGATGATGATGATTGTTCTCGTCCTGGCTTCGTGTCAGTGCTCAAGAACTCCTGGGGCGTGCGGGGGGAAAATCATGATGGCTCCCCTGTGCGGCGCCGCTTGCTCCGGCCCACAAGCGCTCCGCCGCCGCTGCATGAGTCTAGCCCAGGCACGCCAGCAAGCCACTTGCTATGACGATGACGATGACGATGGCAATCACGATCACGACGTCATCGTCATCATCATCGTCGTCATCATCATCATCCTCATCATCCTCGTCATCGTAGCGTCATAGTCATCGTCATTGACATCATCATCGTCATCATCGGCATCGTCATCGTCATCGTCATCATCATCACCACCATCACCACCACGGCCATCAACATCACCATCAGCATCGGCATCATCATCATCACCACCATCAGCATCATCATCTTCATTATCACCAACATCATCGTCATCATCATCACCAGCATAATCATTACCATCATCGTTGTCATCGTTATCGTCATCGTGATTGCACCGTGCCGCGCCCTTGTGGTCGCTGGCTCTGGCCGACCCGCCACACTCACCGAGCAAACCACATGCGATTGTTTCGATGTAGTTGATCTTATTTTCCCTGCGGCAGGTCGAGGCTATTCGCGAATCGGAGGTTGGGGGGTTAGATCGCAGTGAAACGGAGACCCCCCACTGGGAAATTGGTTTCGGTTTCGTGTTCGTGTCGTGCGTGCGGGCGAGGCGAAGCTGCGCGTGATCCTCTTGTAGCTAGGCCGAAGTAGGAGCGAACTCCGTTCCCCGTCCGCCGGTGGCCGGGAGGTGTCTCAGTTAGGCCGGGCGGTGTCCCGGGTGTCCCGGGTGTCAGTAGGAGCGAAGGTCCGTTTCCCCTCCGCCGGTGGCCGGGAGGTATCCCAGTAGGGCCGGGCGGTGTCCCTGGTGTCCCTGGTGTTGGGCGTCCCGGCGCTAACGCATGTCGCTAGTTTCATAATTTTTTGTTCGGCGCCTGCGGCGGGCTTTCTTATCCAATCCAGCTGATCTGATCCGATCCATCTTGTCCAATCCAATCTATCTTATATTATCCAACCCATCTTGTCCTATCTTATCTTATCCCACCCAATCCAATCCACCCAACCCAATCCATCAATTCATTGGTTTCTGCGCCTGCGGCGGGCCAATCCAATCCATCTTATCTTATCCAATCCATTTCTTCCAATCTAATCCATCTCTATTATCCAGTCCATCTTTTCCCATCCAATCCAATCCACCCAGCCCAATCCATCAATTTATTTTTGTCGGCGCCTGCGGCGGGCTTTCTCATTTTGCTTTGAGGTCGATAGTGAGATCGACAGTGAGATTCACCGATAGGTCGGTCGACGGATAGGTAGATAGTGGGATCTCATCGTCATCGCGATCATCATTGTGGTGGAGGGAGACTCTGATTGAGAGGGAGAGAGAGAGAGGGCGAGAGAGAGAGAGAGAGACATAGAGAGCGAGAGAGACAGAGAGAAAGAGAGATATGAGATCAAGGTGACAGGCTGGAGGTCAGTCAGGGTGGGCATTTGATCTCAATCCCCCCAACCTCCTTATCGCCCGCAGGGCGGCCGTATAGGTATATGTGTGTGTGTGTGTGTATATATATATATATAATATATATATATATATAGGAGTAGGCCGGGGGGGGGGGGGGGCTGGGCCGGTGCCACCCTCCCCCTTGGGCGCCCCCTGGGACCTGTGGGGGGTCACAGACCCCCCGGGGACTGCCCCAGGCCGCTTCCAAATTTCCCACGGCAGGCCACGCGGGCCGTACAGATGGTCAAGAAAGCCCCAAGAGGCCCCGAAGACGCCCAAGATGGCCCCAAGAGGGCCCGAGATGGCTTGAAGATGGCCGAAGAGGGCCCCAAGAAGGCCGTCAAGAGGCAAACAATTGCTCATTCACTTAGTAACATGTGCATCTTCAGCATACTCGCTTGCTTCGTCTTCACAGTGCCCCAGACGCCCCCGAAGAGCCCGAAGACAGCCCAAGAGAGACCCAAGATAGCCCAAGACGTTCCAAAAGGGTCGTCCAGTGGGCCTCAAAGAACCCCCCAAGACGGCCCAAGAGGCTCCAAAGCCAGCCCAGGAGGCCCCCCAAGACGGAGGGCCTCGTTCGAAATCATGTTCCCGGAAGCCACTCCGGGAACATGATTTCAGTGTTCCCAGGACGCCCATAAGAGGCCCATAAGACAGCCTCAGCGAGGCCCAAGGGGGCCCGAGATGGCTTGAAGATGGCCGAAGAGGGCCCCAGGAGGGCCTTCAAGAGGCAACAATCGGTCCGTTCTCTTAGTAAAACGTGGATTTTCAGCATGCTCGCTTGCTTCGTCTTCGCAGTGGCCCAGGCCATCGAAGAGCCCCAAGACAGCCCAAGAGAGACCCAAGAGGGCCCAAGGCGGCCCAAAAGGGTCGTCCTGTGGGGCTCACGGAACCCCCCAAGACGGCCCAAGAGGCCCCAAAGCCAGCCCAGGAGGCCCCCAAGACGGCCTCAGGGATGATGCCCAAGAGGGCCTCGTTCGAAATCATGTTCCCCGAAGCCTCTCCAGGAGCATGATTTCCGAGTTCCCAGGACGCCCAAGAGGCCCAACAAGACAGCCTCAACGAGGCCCAAGAGGGCCCGAGATGGCTTGAAGATGGCCGAAGAAGGCCCCAGGGGGGCCTTCAAGAGGCAACAATCGGCCCGTTCCCTTACTACAACGTGCATTTTCCGCATACTCGCTTGCTTCGTCTTCACAGTGCCCCAGACGCCCCCGAGGAGCCCCAAGACACAAGAGAGCCCAAGACGGCCCAAAAGGATCGTCCTGTGGGGCTCACGGACCCCCCCAAGACGACCCAAGAGGCCCCAAAGCCGGCCCAGAAGGCCCCCAAGACGGCCTCAGGGAGGCCCAAGAGGGCCTCGTTCGAAATCATGTTCCCGGAAGCTTCTCCAGGAACACGATTTCTGGGTTCCCAGGGCGCCCAAGAGGCCCACAACACAGCCTCAGCGAGGCCCAAGAGGGCCCGAGATGGCTTGAAGATGGCCGAAGAGGGCCCTAGGAGGGCCTTCAAGAGGCAAAAGTCGGCCCGCTCTCTTTGTAGAACGTGCATTTTCGGCATGCTTCTTACAGTGCCCCAGACGCCCCCGAGGTGCCCCAAGACAGCCCAAGAGAGACCCAAGAGGGCCCAAGACGGCCCAAAAAGGTCATCCTGTGGGGCTCACGGAACCCCTCAAGTCGGCCCAAGAGGCCCCAAAGCCGGCCCAGGAGGCCCCCAAGACGGCCTCAGGGAGGCCCAAGAGGGCCTCGTTCGAAATCATGTTCCCGGAAGCTTCTCCGGGAACATGATTTCTGGGGTCCCAGGACGCCCAAAGACAGCCCCCCAGAGACCCCGGACACGCCGAAGATGGCCTCGGGACGGCCGACGACGCCGCTAAAACGCCCCAAGAGCGCCTCCAGAGGCCCCTCCAAAGGGCCCCGGAAGCTGAAAACCAATAATTTTCCAATGGTTTTTGAAGCATTTTGTGCGCTCTCCAATGATGTTCCGCCTCCCCACGGTCCCGGACCGCGTCAGAGGCCCTTCAGATCGCTCCAAGACGGCCGAAGAGGCTCCCAAGAAAGCCCAGAGACGGCCCAGGAGGCTCCCCAGATAAGTCAAGAGGGCCTCGAGAGCGCCCCAAGAGAGCCCCAAGAGCGACCCAAGAGGGCCCGAAGAGCGCGATTTCAAGGTCTCCGGCCTGAGAGGCTCCTAGGACGCCCCCGGAGGCCATCAAGAGGCTCCCAAGAAGCCCCGTGAGGCTCCCAAGAGGCCCCCCGGAAGCCCCAATAGGCCCCCAAGGGGCCCCCAGGGAAGCCCCCTGCGGGCCCCCAAGACACTTCGGTAAATCGTATTTCCCAGATAGCTTTCCGGGAACATGATTCCTTGGGCTTCCGCCCACCGCCCCAACCATGTTTCCAATAGGCTTGCCGACAAGGCCAAAAGGCGCCCCTCGGTAAGCCCCCAGAGGCCCCCCTCTTAGAGAGCCGAACAAATCATGCTCCCGGAAAGCTTCCCGGGAACATGATTCTCTATCTCGGAGTAGGCCCGGGGGGGGGGGGGGCGGGCCGCTGCCTGTTCCCCCCATCGGTGCCCACCGGGGGTTGCGGGGGGGGGGGTCCAGAGCTCGCCCGCCCCGAAGCAGGCCACGACAGGTTAAGGGGGTCCCGAGAGGGCCCAAGACGGTCCCAAGAGGCCCCGAAGACGCCTAAGATGCCCTCAAGACAGCCGCCGACGAGTACTCCAACACGCTCCAGGACGAACTCAAGAGGCTCCCCAAGAGGGCCCTGGAAGGCAAGATTCACTCATCTTCCGAGTGTTATGCATTTTGGCGTTCTCGCTTTTTCCGCTTCCCAGCGCTCCCTCACGGCCTCGGAGGCCCTTCAGATCGCTCCAAGAAGGCCCACGAGGCCCCGACGAGGGCCCCAAGACGGCCCAGGAGGCTCCCCAGACAACCCAACTCTGCCCCAAGAGCTTCCCGAGAGGGGGCCCAGAGGGAGACCGCCAACCGATATCTCGAGGTCTCTGGCCCTAGAGGCCGCCTGTAGACCCCCGGAGGCCACCAAGAGGCTCCCACGAAGCCCCGTGAGGCGCCCAAGAGGCCCCCAGGAAGCCCCAAGAGACCCCCAAGGGGCTCCCAGGGAACGCCCAAGAGGCCCCCGGGACCCAAGAAATCATGTCCCCAGAAAACTTTACGGGGACATGGTTCATCATGGGCCCGAGAGTTCCTGGAGGCCCCCAAAGGGCCCCCTGGGAACGCCCAAGAGACCCCCCAACGCACCCCAACAAATCATGTCCCCAGAAAGCCTTCCGGGGACATGGTTCATCATGGGCCCGCGAGTCTCCGGAGGCTTCGAAGTACCATCATGCTACAGGAGAGCTGTCTGGAAAGTTGATTGGGAACATGACTGATCGCCTTCTCGTGGCCCTCCGCAGATCGTTTCGCACAAAGTTGCCACAAGCCCCAAATGCCATCTTGAACCGACGACGACGACGAAACGACGAAGACGACGACCACGACGACGACGACGACGACGACGACGTCGACGACGACGACGACGACGACGGCGACGACGACGACGACGGCGGCGCACCCCAATAGGCGACGACGACATTACGACGATGACGATGACGACGGCACGCCCCAACAGGCTCCCCAAGACGCCCCCCAAACCCATGCTCCCAGAAGGATTTCTGGGAATCCGATTCATTTGGCCTCCGCCCCCCTACACCACCTTTTTTCCCGAAGGCCTTTCGGAATGCAGATTGGCATGCGTCGACTGTGGTCCACTACTTCAGTGGAGCAGTGAATTCGTCAAGGCCTGGGGCCTGCTAGAACCATCGCGCACGCAACGCGCGCGCGATGGTTCTAGTATTTGTACTTATACACATATATACATATATATATATATATAGAGAGAGAGAGAGAGAGAGAGAGAGAGAGTCTGGAGCGCGCCGGAAAGCCGGGAACCCGTCTGGGGCCGTCTTCGGGCTCTCGTGAGGTTTTCCCGGGTCGTCTGAAGGGTTGCCCGGAGGCCCGGGGAGGGCCATTTTCGTTAGCGAAGGGGGTTGGGGGGGGCGTTTCTTCCGTCGTCCCCGGCCCTACGTAAATATATGATTCGGAATGAATGCGTGTATATGTACACAGGAATGATAGAAATGATGGCGTCTGTTTCCCTTCCTTCTCCTCTCCTTTCTACTCCTCCTCCTCCTCCTCCCTCGTCCTCTGCACCCGGGCAATAATCGTCACGGGTAGCTCGTGATGCCATTTAGTGGGCGCCCCGCGTGTCTTTTCCAGGCTCCGGCCCGCGTGGAGAGGAACGCGGTCTGCTATGAGGTGGAATGCTTTGCAGAGGGATTCTGTTCGAGAGTTGTGGCAGCCCAGGGCGAGTTTCATCCTGATGCGAAGACGTTGGATCTCTCTCTCTGGCCCGGCGGGCAGCTATAGTGCTATAGGAGGCTAATTTGGCGGTGCTGGCCGATCGAGTTGCCTGTTGTTTCATGTCTTTGCGTGCCACGTCCCCGTCTGGATCGCCTCGTAGCAGCCGGGGACATGTAGGGAGCTCCCACAGTATGTACATATACATACACAAGTACACGACTATGACTATACATATCTATATATATATATATATATGTGTATGTGCATGTATAGTTATGGTTCTAGGTATATGTATATGTATATGTCTATGTATATGTATATGTATATGTACTTGTAACTGTATATGCAAACGTATCTGTATATGTATGTGTCTATATATATAGAGAGAGAGAGAGAGAGATTGCGAGCCGATGAACGCCCTCGTCTGCACACACCCACAACACCCTGGCCCCCGAGCCCCGAGCTTCTCCGAGCCCCACTCCCCGCGGAGCGGACGCTACCCCGCTCGCTGCCGTGGCCGCTGCCGCGGCACCCGCCACCAGCCAGGCCACCCCAGCCCAACCCTCCACTCCCAGTGTGTCTAGGCCTCCTCGAGGGGGTCGGAAGACCGCGCCGCATCGCCGATGCATCGCCGATGCGGCTCGATGTGGAGCCCGATTTGATTCGCGTCGACATCGCCGATGCATCGCCCACGTCGACGATGCATCGTGGGTGCATCGCCGATGCATCGCGCATGCACTTTCGATGTATCGGCGATGCGGCGCGATCCTCCGACCCCGTCTACTCCGACCCAGGCCTCTAGTGTGGGGGGGCGTCCGGGAACATTGGACAACACCACATATGGACCCCGTACCCACCCCATCCGAAATTTGGGCCTTCGGGGTGAAATGGGGTGGTCTGATAGGTAGCCAGACATCCTCCTCCTCATCCTCCGCCTCCTCCGTCTTCTCCTCCGCCTCCTCCTCCTCCTCTGCCTCCTATTCCTCCTCCATCCTGATCCAATCGCATCACGACAGCATCCTCGTCCTGCTGCGAGGGGGTCCCGGCCCGCGCAGAAGGTGGCCGGTTTCGTTACGATCATCCTCGGACAGGCCATCTACGGCGCCATGTTGCGGGTGCCCGGGCTCAGGCGGGCGCTCGCCCGCCGCCCTCCGTGCTATTACTCCGCCGCCGTCGCTGCCGACGCCGTCGCTGTCGCCGTCGGTCTTCGACGATCTACGACGGTAATTGTGAAGGCTTTGCTGCCAGTGCCGCTGACCCTGAAGGAGGAGCTCGAGGCGTCTGGGAGGCAAGGAATGGAAGGGGAGCTTCTCCCATGGGAGGGGTGCTCCCCCCCGGTGGGGTCACAACTCATAACCCCTGGGAACCCTCCCCCGACCCCCACCGGGACCCCCCCAGGTCCTCCCCGAGACCTCTCCCGAGAACCCCCCTGGGAGCCTCATGGGACTGCCCCCGCCACCCCCACGACGTTACTCTCACGGTTTGGAAAAGGGTTGAATGGTTCGGGGAGGTTGTTAATAGGTCTCGGATGTTTCCAGGAGGTTCTCAGCTGTCGTCGCCGTCGTTCCTGGCTGGCGTCGTTGTCGTCGCCGTCGCCGTCGGCATCGGCGTCGGCGTCGGCGGCTCGAAGAAGAACACGCGGCATAGACATAGACTCTCGGGGGTCCGCGCGGACTTCTTCGACACCCCAGGCGGCGCCTCTGGCGCCGCCCCCAGGCGCGCGCCGCGCGCCAGGGAGGAGGGGTCAGCGCAGACCCGGACAATTCGCGCGGACTTTCGACAGCTCAATGCTTCTGCAGTTTCCGTGCTCCTTCTTCTAGGGAAGCCCAGCCCGCCCACGTGATCGCCCACGGAAGGAGAGCCAGGGGCAACGTCAGGGGTGGATGGGCTCAGGGGTCGATGCCCCGACTCCCGATCGCCCCTTCATCGCCGAGAGGGGCTCGATCGCCTGCCCCGCCCGTGAGCGTGTGGAGTCTCCATCGGGGGCCCATCGCCGATCTATTGGCGATGTATCGCCGATTCCAGGTCGATGGTTTCTCCCCCGTGCCAGTTGGTGGGACCCCAGCCCTTCAGTAAGGCCGCAAAAAAAAGCGATTAGTCGCCTCCTATCGGTGGGGGTTCTTGAAGACCTTTCAGGGTTTTTCTGGAGGCCTTGCGCCCAGCGCCGCCGATCCTGAAGGCGGGACCTCCCCCCTCATCCTCAGCCCCTGCAGAAGTATCCATTTTCGCGCTGCGGGAGAAGCGACCCCCTTGAAACATTGGAGCTGGAGCGCCCGAGGGCCCGCCAAAGCCCAGAGAGCACCGCTTTTTGGAAGGACAACTCGCACTCCGTCCTCCGCGCTGCACGGCATGCGACAAAACTGGGCGCATTCACAAGAGCGAGCAGCCCAGACCCCCAACGCGACGTGAGGTCGTTCGTTCTTTTTCGGCATCCGGGGGCCCTTGCCGGGCCTCGGGACCGTGAAACAAAGGCTCGGGATGAACAGCCGGTCCCGGGGAAGGGGTCCAGACCTCTGGGGGTCGACGTTGTGCACAAAGCACTGCGTCGGGGGTTTGGGAGGTGCCCAGCACCAGTCCCGAACAGGAGCCGCCCCGCATCCGTGCAGTTGTGGCAGATTTTGTTTTCCTAGTCATCAGATCTTACGAGGTATCAGGCGAGATCCCCTTTCTGATTAGCAGCCGCCATCCATACGAGAAACTCTCGCGCAAGTTTTCGGTTCCCAAATCTGCCCGAAATCTGGCCACGCCCTTCCCGGGGCCGCAGCACAGTGCTGGCCGCTGGAGTTAGGAACTTCCCCCTCCCGCCGCAGGTGCCTCCCTGGAGCCTCCCGAAGCTCTCCCTCGGCTTGGCTCTGGCGGCCCCTGAAACCCCTCAGTGCCCTCCACGGCAGACGGCCCAAGATCGCTTTGAAGATGCACCACGAAGCCCCCTCGACGTTCCAAGAGGGGTTCAAGAGGACCCCCAACGGGGCCCCAGCAGGCAAAGCTCATTGATTGCCTTTGGTTTTCGGACGATTCTCACTTTCTCGTTTTCCCTTCTTCCGACCGCCCACCACTGCTCAGGAGGCCTCCAAGATGGCCACAAGAAGGCCCAAGAGGGCCCCAAGACGGCCAAAGACATGGCAAGGACGGCCGGAGAGGCCCCAAGCCAGCAAAAGAGGCTCCCGAGATCTTCCAAGAGGGGCTCAAGACTCAAGAGGGGCACTCTGTAAGCCCTCCCCAAGACAGCCTCCCAACATGCCCCGAAGAAGCCTCCCAACAGGCCAGCAATACTTTCCTGAGCGGCCCCAGAGACCCCAAGAGGCCCCCAAAGATATACCCACAGGCTCCCATGACTTCCCCAGTATCCTTCCTGCGTCCAAGCGAGCGCCGATAAGGCCCTCTGGGGTGGCCGTCTTGGGGCTCTCTTGGGGGTGAGAGGGCAGCAACGGGGGGGGGGACATGTTACGGTAGTTTTGTGTCGTGTCGACCAGCCGCGACCCCGCCGTTGACGTTCAACGTTGAACGCCGCCAGCGACCCAGAATCCGTCGATGTTGAACGATCTGACGTGTCGGAAACGTCCGATCGTTCAAGGTTGAACCGATACCCGCGGTGTCAGGAACGAACGCTGGGGGTCGGCACGGCACGAGCAGCCCGCCGTCTTCGCCTGTCTGCTTGTGTTCGCGCCCTCAGAGACTCCGCCACCCAAAATGTACACAAACACCCTCCAATGGGTTGTTCCTGGGCCTTAGGGGAGGGTGTCGGTGACCTAATCACCGCTAAGAGCCGGCAACTTTACTACACACCGCCACCTCCCGGAAGGCACATGCAAAGTTCCTCGGAGGGTGTCAGTGTGCATGTATTTTCGCGGCCTAGCCCAACTGGCTTCCGACCCCACAGCCCTGGCCGGCTTCCAACCCATTGCATGTCAGAGCACGCGCTGGCTTCCAGCCCCGCAGCCCTCTGGCATTCGGGCGCGGTCCCCCTGCTCCGCCCTGCGCGCCCCGCGCGCGACACGTGTCGGCGTGGCGTTCCACGGCCCCTGCATGCTCATCCCGCATCCCTGTTCTTCGTGCGGGCTGCAGTACGGCAGTTCTTGATGAGGAAGTCTCGTGCGAGTCTTGATGACATGTGGGCTCCTCCCTTCTGCTACTCACTCCTCCTCCTCCTCCTCGCCCTCCTCCTCCTCCTCCTCCTCCTCCTCCTCCTCCTCCTCCTCCTCCCCCTCCCCCTCCCCTCTCCTCCTACTCCTCCTCCTCCTCCTCCCTTTGTCCGTGAACTTGTTGCAAGTTTTAAGTTTGATTTTGCGTGGCACTGAGGCGGCAGCCACCACTGGACCTCAATGCATGTAGCCCTTGGCATGTTCTAGCTTCGGGAAGGTAATTGGTACGGACATCTCAGGCACATGTACAGATTGGTAAGGTGAGGCTCGCGCCTTGCTCGGCCCACTGGCATTTCTGGAGCGCGACGGCGAGGAGTTTGTGATACGGGTGAAGCATGGGTAAAGGGGAGGGAGGGCTGCTGGCGGAGGAGGGATGGAGACAGGGATGAGATGAGTTAGGCTAGAGTGCTTGAATTAGGTACGAGCGGGGCGAGTTGGATTACGATGATGGGGGCGGAAGAGGCAGAGGGGGGAGGCGGCGGATGACGATCGCGATGTATCACGATGTCGATGATGACCATGATGATTGCGATGATGATGATGATGATGATGATGATGATGATGATGATGATGATGATGATGATGATGATGATGATGATGAGGATGATACTGATGATGGTGATGGTGATGATGATGATGTTGATGATGATGATGCTTATGATGATGATGATGCTGATGATGATGATCATCATCCTGCTGATGACGATGCTAATGCTGATGATGATGCTGATATAGGTGATCAAGATAGTGCTGATGCTGCTGCCGCTGATAATGGTCACAATGCTGATGATGATGCTTCTGCTGATGATGATGACCATCATGACTAGGATGCTGGTGAGTTGATGATTTCGGTGGTGGTGATGATGATGATGCTGGTGGTGATGATGGTGGTGATGATGACGATGACGATGGCGATACCCATCGTGATGATGATGCTGATGGTAATGTGGTTGTGATAGCGATTATGATTATGATGATCATGCGCATGCTGCTGAGCATGCTGATTCTGATGATGTTCATGCTAATGATGATGCTGAGTATGATGATGGAGGTTGTGGTGGTGGTGGTGATGATAATGATGACGATACCGGTGAGGATGTTGCTGATGATGTTGATGCTGATGATGCTGATGCTGATGCTGATGATGCTGAATGTGATGTCGATCATGATGCTGAAGATGCTGATGATGATACTTCTGATGATGCTGATGACGATGATGATGCTGCTAATGATGACGATGATGAACATAATGATGGTGGTGATGATGATTGCGATGATGCTGATGAGGACGATGATGCTCACGATGATGCTGATGATGCTGATGATGCTGATGATGAGGGTGATCCTGCTGATGATGATGCTGACGACGATGAGGATGCGGATGTTGATGAGGTTGTTGATGATGATGTTGTTAGTATTGATGATGATGGTGATGGTGATGATGCTGCTGATGCTGCAGATGCTGATGATGCTGATGATGATGATGATGATGCTGATGATGATGATGCTGCTGCTGATGATGATGATCATGATCATGATCATGATCATGATGACGTTGATGCTGTTGTTGTTTATGCTGATTATACGGAGGGAGGAGGAGCTAGGATGATGAGGATGATACTGATGATGAGGATGAAGAGGAGAAGGCGGATGATGGAGGAGGAGGAGGATGAGTAGACGGGATGTTGAGGATGATCATGGAGGAGGAGGAGGAGGAGAACCAAGAGCATGATATTGGAGGATGACGGATGAGATGGATGGACTGGCGGATGGAGAATATTCGGCAGTGCGCGTGGTTCGTGCCGTGCATCGAACGATCGACGGATGTGTGCGTCGAGGTCGAGCGTAGCCCACACCGTGCAGCCTCGCCGTACCCTCGGGTCACCGAAGCAGGCGCAACTCGTGAGACCCCCCCTCTCGGGGGAACTGCGGGTGGAGGGCCCCGTCTGGCTTCCGCGGCCCCAGCCCGCGACGCTGTGTGCGTCGG